AGAATAGAATAGAATAGAATAGAACAGAACAGAACAAGAACAGAACAGAACAGAACAGAATAGAATAGAATAGAATAGAATACCACCTATTCTGTACCTGTGCATTTTGGTTTTTCTACTAGTTTCAGTGTAGAATAAGCACTAAGGCCACGGGGCAGAAGGCCAGCTAATAGTAATTCACTCCCTTCCCCATTCATCCTATTCTTCCCTTCTCTTGCAGTTTTAGTTAAACTCAAGAAAGTCAACCAACGCTGTGCAGTGAGATCTCGATTTATTCAACCCATATGCCTGCCAGAAGCTTCCATGTCTTTCCCAGACCACTACAAATGCTACGTTGTCGGATGGGGATACTTGCATCAAAGTAAGAGTTGGGGTGCCTGATCACCCCCTTATTGCCAGGAGTTTCCGCTGACTCCAGGACGAGCTTCATGGTGTCAGCCCATCACACTCGGTCTTTCTATAGTTGATGTTTTCAATCGAGCGCTGGTGGCACAGTGGTTAGAATGCGGTATTGCAGGAAAACTCTTCCCACAGCCAGGAAGTTCAATCCTGAATCCGGAAATGGGCAGATGCTGGAGCAGCTTCCATGGCCCATGGGAACCCTTCTTCTAAATTCAAGGGGTCTTTCCCTGCCTTGGAGCTGTTGATGCACCTTTTGTCCTAGATGGGTTGAAGAAACCCAGGATTCTCAAATGCTGTGGGGGGGTTTCCAGAAGACCTTTGTGGACCTCTGGCATTAGGAGCAGAATCTGCCCTCTTCCTCTTGATGACCCCTGTGGGTGCCAAGGAGCCTGGGCTTCTTCCTGGTTGTGCAGGGAACAGTCAAAGAGACCAAGGGATAGGTACAGTGGAAGTGTGAAAGGTGTGTGTGCCGGTCACACTTTAGAACATGCAAGGGTGCCTACCAGAAAGTGGGAAGGGCAATACTAATGATATTTTTACTGAAACTCTTGTGGGGGGGTCTATGGCAATTCATTATGGCCAACTTGCCATGGCCAACTGGTCATGGCCTACTTGTCATGACCAACTCACCACAGCCAATTCTCCATGGCCAACTCACCAGTCAACTTGTCACAGCAAAACTCATTATAGCCAACTTACCATGGCCAACTTTCCAAGGCCAGCTTGTCATGGCCAACTCACCAGAGTCAACTTGCCACAGCCAACTCACCATGGCCAACTCATCATGGCCAACTTGCCATGGCCAACTCACCAGTCAACTTGCCACAGCCAACTCACTGGAGCC